GTACACAAGCATGTGTACAACAGAGATGGATGTTGTGTGGACCGGAGAGGAGTTGGTGTGTCATTCAATCCTGACGCACCGACCTGTTGCAACTCGGTGTTCTTTCGCTTGGCGTTTTCCTCGCCTCGCTTGTGCTCGTTGACTTGCCGCTTCACAGTGGCGAGCTCAGCCTCCTTCTCCTCATACCGCTCTTGCAACTTCTTGTACTCTTCTGTGTCCATCGTGTTGCTCAGCCTCCTCAAGTCCTGACACCGACCAACCAAAGGGGACGAAACAAAAACAGCGAACAGACTCGTGTCTCTTGTGTGCGCTTGCTGAATGCGTGCGTACCTCGTTGGCGTTCCGCAGCTGCTTCTGCAGCCGATCGACCTCCTCCTGCAGTTCCTCGATGAACTGCTGCTCGCCGACGCTCATTCTCTGCCGAGAGCTGGTAATCAGCGACCCTCTGCGAGAAGAAGGGCCCTTCTCTCTGGGCTCCTCCTCCTGACGTGCCTTGTCAATGGACTCCGTCAGGAGGAGGAGTCTTCCCATTGACAGTAGTCCGCTGTCCATTGTCGCGAACGCACTCTTCCGTCGCTGCTGCGAGTACCGACCTCTGGGCTTCTCCTCCTGACATGCCTTGTCACTCTCGTCGCTCTCCATTGACTCCATCTGTCGCTCGTAGCTCTCCGATATCTCGTCGAGGCTTCCCATTGACAGTAGTCCGCTGTCCGTTGTCGCGAACGCACTCTTCCGTCGCTGCTGCGAGGACCGACCCGAGGCGTCAAGCCTCTGCCCGGGGCTGCGGTCCATGGAGACGAGCACCTGTTGGCGAAACTGCTCATTCTCACTCAGCAGCTGTGCGAGCTCTTCATTGGCAGCACCAGAGGCAGAGGCTGCCGACTCTCGGCGGCTTGCGGCTGACTCTCCTTGAGACGACGTGAATGACTGCGAGAGGCCGCCGTGCGAAGCCCCGCTGCCCTGCCGAGACGGCACACCAGTGGTGATAGCCCTGCGCATGGCATCGAGGTCGCTGTGGCCGCTGGAATCCACGAAAGGAAAGGCGCCGCCGTGCTGACTGCTGGAGGACACGACCTCACTCGTCCCTGCCCCGATGTCGCTGCCACTCCTTCCCAGACTCAGTCGAACACCCTTTCGCGGCGAGGGGCTGCCTGCTGTCGAGACGGTGAGGGGCTCTCGTTCAGAGGGGCTGAGGGTCGATGGCCTGCCCTTCAATGCTCGCCCAGGGAGGAGACCCTCGTATCGGTTCTTGACGTCGTCATATTTCCCCATGTAGCGCGCCGCGCTCTCGCCCATGAGGCGATCGTCTGCGTCGAAATCATCGTCATCGCTCTCCTGCAGACAACACAGCACACATACGCAGAGAGGGAGAGAGAGGTCCAGTCGATCTCTTTCCCTCAGTCCTGTGTGTGCGTCACAGTGCGGCGCACCTGTCTGTCCGTGTCCTGCCGTTTGTGTGTGGTGGGGGCTGCCACTGCGGCCATATCGCGGCACCACTCGCCATCACCGTCACTCGCACTGCTGGCACTGCTGCTGCCTCCCTTGCCTGCAGCATCAAGACCGGGCGTTGCTGCTGCGGCTGCTGCCACTTGGTCTGGCGGGTAGTTGCGATCACGCTCCTGAGAGCACCACAACACACACACACACACACACACTTTTTCACGACTGTGTGGATGTGAGGATGAGTGACGGTCTGTGTGCCTACCTCGTGGACCTCCTTCAGGTTGAGCTTGGGAAGGGCTGGCGGGGGCAGCGAGGGGCTCCGCTGGTGGCGGTTGTGGTGCACAGGGCGGGGGAGGAAATGGACCTGACGGTACACACATACACAGACACACAGGTAAGAGTGGATCTGTGTGTGCGCCCTGCCCTGCCGTGCAGTGCCGTGCCTACGTCCTCGAAATCTTCCTCGTCATCTGATTGACCAACACACAGACAGTCAGATAAAAGGTGACTGACAGATGTGCATCAATCAACCATCCCCATCCGTCGGTGAGAGTGCGATGCGTACCGCTGAGTGGCTGCAGGCGGTGTGGTGAGGCCATCAAAACTCCTGCCAACGCCCCGGCCTCGTATCATCGCTGAAGCCACCAAACCAGGTGGCAGTGGGCCACAAGCGCACACACACAGGACAGGCAAGAGATGATTGGCGTGGGGTTGGCGGGGGTCGGGGGTGCGGTGAAATGGGTACCTTGTTCTCTTGTTGGCGCGTTTGCGTAGCTCGTCTGTCTCCGTCGTCTTGTCGAGGATATCCTCAGTCTGGCGGCTGATCTTGCTCTTGAGATGCCGCTCGCGCAACCTGGTGACACACACAACGAGATAGAGATGGAGTCAGTGGAGTGACTGTGTGGGTTCTCTCTCGGCTGCTAGATGGTCGGCTGACCGTGCTGCACTTAGCTGCTTCTCTGCCACCTCCAAAATTCCATCCCCTGCCGCGTTGCGATAGTGGAATCCCTCGCCGTGGCACTCAATGGCCAATCCACAGCCGCCATGCGCGTCGATCGTGGTGGTCTCGGTGCTCCGCTGTGGCTGGTAATTGTTGTTGTCCTTGTCGTTGTGGGGCCTGTGCATCAGTCCGATGCCGAGACGGGCCAGCTCCTGTGGTCCAAGCACCATGCCGTCATAAAGGGCATCGGCGAATCTCTGGAACGTGAAACAGTGGGGACGCTCCCGCCACCCGGGCTGCTCCTCTCTCTCCACCTCCCGCCGATCCCGCCGCGCCGCCATGCGCTTCTGGGCCCGCTGTTGCTGCTGCGCTCGTGTCTCCGCCTTCATGCCATTGGGAGTCTCCTTCTCCTTTTCCTTAGTTGCAAATGTGCCCGGGTATTTCCGCCTCAGGGTCGTGTCGATGTTCACCATGCTGTGCCGCAGGTCGTCCACCGATGGAACGGTGGTCATGTTTCGATAGGGAAGGGGGTGCACGCTGTGTGACGGAAGTCGACCGTTGGGTATCGTTGGAAACGTTTGTTATTGTTGTGGCGATGACCAGTACTTGCTGGGCTTTGCAAATGCCTTGCAGCCTGCCTGAGTACAACTTGAATCCTCGTCTACCCCCCACTTAGCCCCCAACCTTGCGAGCTTGCATGCATTGCCCGTCGCTTCCATTTCGGTGCACGTGCGCCGTCTTCGCAACTGCCTTGCTGGCCTGGCAACACGGTATTGGCCGAATACACCGACCAGCTTTCCTTCGGATGTGTGTAAATCTGTGGGCCGGACTTTCTGAGGACTGACGCGTACATGTATAGCGCCAGATTTCGTTCAGACTTGGCAAGCCGACAGAGGCCTCGTGATCAGATCACCTCGAGCCATGTCGGACAATAAAGATCTCGCGGTTTGACGCGACTTCCGAATCGGCGAAATAGGTGTGGCGAGATGCCGAAGCGTAGCGTGGAGGAGATCTGCGAGAGCATCGCCATCACGGGCATCCCGTCGTCACAAGACTTCGGCCAGCGGCCCATCAAGCTGTACGTGTCCAGCGAGGCCACGAAAGAGGAGGACAACGAGTGCCGCGCCACGTTCGTGCTGTTCGAGGCGCATGGGCTCACCTTCTACCTGGTGCGCATCGCGAAGAAACCATGGAAGCGTGGCGTTTGCAATGGACGCGGCTGCTTTTGGTGATGTGTTGGTGTGGATGTGTGTTGCAGATAGACATCTGCAACTATGACAAGGTGCAGCTGGTACAGGGGCTGAAGGAACTGATCGCACTGAGGACCAACCCCAAGCCGTCGTCCTTCAGAATTCCATACGTGGTGCGCCTTCCCGCCCGCCCATTCATCCATCTCAACTCACATATGGAGCTTCATGGATGGCATGGATGTGATGTGATTTTGGTATCTGCTGCAGTTCGTAGGCGACGTACCGATTGGCGGCTTCGACCACATAGAAAAGCTGGAAAGACACTGTATATATACCCCACCACACACACATCCATGCATCCATCCATCCATCCATCCATCCACCCTGCCGTCATGTTGTCATTGTCTGGGCGGGTTGGTGTTTGGCAGGCAACCTGCTGAAGGAGCTGTTCTTCGCCGGAGCATGGTACTTCACCGACAAGCGCCCCGACCGGCCCCCCTCCCCCTCCCCACCGTCTCCGGTCCTCTCTCCCCTGCCGCCCGCAGTGTGCCAGCCGTCGCCCGAGCCACCCAGCGAGACTACCGGCACTGGCACGCTGCGCCAGCCCGACTCGCCATCGGCCCTCCTGCGGCGACCGGCCAAGGTCACAATGCACACACAGACATGAAGGTGGATTGATGGATGTGGATGGATGTGTGTGTGTTGGTGGTGGTGCAGGGTAAGGCGAAGTGGCGGCCAGTGTCCCCGACGAAGGCCAAGGCTGGGTCACAGCAGCAGCAGCAGGGGGGCGCTAGTGGGGCGCTGCTGGCCAAGGGGGAGAGGGAGAAGGGCAAGAGGGAGAGGGGTAACGAGGCTGAGAAGAATAGGGCGGAAAACAATGATGCGGGGGCTGGGGCGGGCGCAGGTGGTGGTGGGGGTGGGGGTGAGAAGGTGTGGATGAGGTCACAGAAGAACAACCTGTTCCGCGAAGACACCCCTATGGAGGTCACACAGAGGGAAGCCGAAAGGCTGGAGGAAATGGTGGGTGCGGCCAGCCGACAAACAAATAAGAAAAGACGAGTCTCATCCATCCTCTTTTGCTTTCACGTTCTGATGTTCCACCACGCATGCAGGGGTTTGTGCGAGGTGCGCCGCCACCAGGTGTAGCAGCAGCTGCAGCTGCTGCTGCTGCTGCTGCTGCCGGTGGTACTGGTGAGGCTGACAGAGTGGTAGACAAAGGGGGAGAGGGGGAGGGAGAGGGGGAGGGGGAGGGGGAGGAAGAGGGAGAGGCCGACGACCCACACCAGCAGCAACAGCCACCGATACAGCCAAACGAACCGTACGCATGACGCGGGAGGGAGCAGACAACGAGCCATATGTGTGTGTCTCTGCCTCTCCTTCTCTGTGTGTGTGTGTGTGTGCAGAGAGGGGTCGTCCAAGTTCGTTGAGCATTTCGACTGGCAGGCCGTGACCACTTTCCACGACCTTAGGGTGCTCACCAAGGCAAGCCCTCAATCACAGGCACACAGACCATCCAGGTCTGTTATGTGTGGTGTGCAGAAGGGTGTGCGGCCGCCCGGCGTGCCGCCCAACTGGAAGGAGGCCTTCCTGATAGACGCTGTGAGGGAGAGACGCACAGATAGGAACAAGATAGCACCAAACAAGCGTGTGTCTGGGGTGTGTGGGGGGTGTGTGTGTGTGTGTGTGCGTGTGTGTGTTTGCAGTCATTTGTTGAGGTGTTTGGGATGTCCAAGGCGCAGTTCTACACCTTGCCGTGAGTGTGCACCGATCAACGGATGGATGGATGGATGGATGCCGTCTCTCTCCCTCTCTCGCTGTGTGTGTGGTGTGGTGTGGTGTGGTGTGGTGCGTGCAGCAAGTGGAAGCAGCAGACCATCAAGAAGAGGGTCAACTTGTTTTGATGGATGGATGGATGGAGCATTGCCGGGGCGGCATCGGGCATTGGACAGAAAAACTGACTGATTGGCCCCCAACCACACACTCAGTCGTGTTGGTTGAGTCGACGGACGGTAGATGCGGATGCAGCTGCAGATGTATGTGCGTGTGGCCTGCTGCGTCATCAATCAGTACCTACGACGTACGCCTTCAAGGCAACAAATGTACCAGCACACACACACACACACACACACATGCACACACACAGATGCATGTCCGTCCTGATCCATACATTCGAGCACTCGGACACCAGAAAACAACAAAACCACTCATCCACAGAGAAGGGAGTCTCCCGAGTGCCCGCCTGCCTGCCTGCCTGCGTAATGGTTAGATAAAGGTCACCATCGATGAAGGAAACAAAAGGAAAAGAAAAGAAACGAACGCAACGAAGATAGGCGAAGCGAGCCACAAAGGGGGAGAATCGGGGGGCAGGCAGCCTCTCACCCACCCATCAACAAACAGACATGTGTCGGTCGACAGACACACCACAGCACGGCATACACAGCAATCCAGCGCGTCAGCGCAGCTCAGTCAGTCACTCACTCCCTCCCTCCCTCACTCGATCACCTACCTATGAAAAAGAGCTATCCATTTCCCAGCAACCAGTGCGTGTGTGTATGTGCATCATCAGCCCCGCCGCCCCGCCACCCTCTATGTCAACCGCACCGCGCTAGTACCATCTATGTGTGTATGTATGTGTAAGGACACAACACCTCTGTCTGCTCGCTCGCCTATGCACACCCACAAGTCACTGAATGTCAGTCACTCTCCCACCAAAAAGGTGTTGTATGTATGTTCTGCGAACTTGGTGGCGGAAAACCAAGCGCCTCTCCCTCCCTCCCTCCCTCCTATGCGGACTGACTAAAATGACAATGGTCTCGCCACTCCCCCACACACATGCGGGTGCACGTGTGCGATGAGGGGCGAGAGGTTCAGCAAAAATACCCACACAGAGTACATACATGTACATGTTTGTGTGTACGTGAGAATGTGTGTACGTATGTGCATGTGTGTGTGTAGGTTTGCGGATTGTCCTCCATCACCGTCAAGAAATAAAGCTCTACAAATAACCATCAACAGTGTGCCAATGGCCCCTGTGAGAGAGGGAGGGCACCTACGAACCACAAACCCGCAATCAACTCCACAGAAATTGCGCACTCACGCCGCCCCATCCAACCATGTAGAGCCACCAGTCAGTCGTGCACATCTATGGCTGTGTGTATGTATGCACCACACACACACATACACATACACATCGCCCCCCCCCACCCATCCATCGTCATCCTTCTATGCACACAAAGAGAGGGAGGGGAGGGGACGGTGGCCACTGCATCCAGGCAGACACACAGACAGACAGCGGGACCTTCACCACTGGTCCCTCCTCCCACACACACACACCCCACCAAAAAGACCGCCGCCGCCACAGACAGGCGGTCAGGCGCTCACACACCATCCACCACCTTCAGCACGATCCTCTCCCTCTCCCTCTCCATCTCTCCCTCCCCCTCTCCCCCATTGGCCTCCTCCGACCCGTGCTTAGTCGCGTTGTCATTATCGTCACCACCAAAACACGAGAGGGCCGACTGTTCGCTTCTCGAGCTGACCACAGGCAGCTCGGGGAGCTCTAATTCGGGCTCGGGTGCGCCTGAGCCGTTGTTGCTCCGGTCGTTGTCCGACATGAAGCTGTCGAGACGGCAGTGCCGCGCAGTGAAGGAGGGGAACGCGCTGGCCGCTTGGTTGTGGGGGTGCGAGTGGGGGTGGGAGTCGGACACTTTGGCTGCCTTTGTCTTCTTCAGGTTGGCGAGACCTGATTGACACAGACAGGGGGGAGGGGGAACAGGTGTGTGTTGGGATGGGTGTGTTTGGGTGGTGTGTTGGCTTACGGGTCTGTTTCTGGATCTCTTCCATCGAGGAGAGCTCTTTCTTCACCACATAGAACCCTCTGAGACACACACAGCGAGAGAGAGAGAGAGAGAGAGAGAGAGGTCGACCATGACCAATTGCAGGAGAAATGGTGGACGTGATGTGGCCCGTTGACGCACCCCGGTCGAGTGAGGAAGGCGTAGAGGATGCCGCAGCCCTCCATGAGACCCCACAGAGGTATCAGAGCCACAGTGAAGGCGACATACAAAATGTAGGTGAGCCACCCCTGCCGCCGTGGGCTGAAGTTGAAGATCGCACCCCACAGGTACGCCCACATGAATGCACCCTGCACACACACACAACACACAACACACAAACACACATGTCCGTGTGCGAGGAACCGGCGGCCGCGCCTTTCCCTCTCTCCCTCTGTCTCTCTGTGTGTGTGTGTGTGTGTGTTGGGGGGGAGGTTGTTGGGTGTGTGTACCTGGTAGGCGCATTGAATGGCCATCATAAAGAGTGTGCGTGGGTATGGGAGGTATAAGAAGAAGTTGAGCAGACCCAACACCGCCCACACAGGCAGCAACGACCAGAACGACAGCACGATCAGCAGCACTGAGACCCCCCCCCCCCCCCCC